TAATCATTGCTGGAGATATTAACGTCAAACATATTGATTGGAGATGCCGCCGAACAAATGCCAATGAACGTATTCTACATAACTTCATATGTAACCACCCAATTGCGCTGCATGTTCCGATTGAATCTACTTATAGGCCAGCTAATCCATGCCACTCGGGTATCTTGGACATTAGTGTCTCTAATACGTCTATTTCCATCGCTCTTGAATTCAAATCTGAGCTTACCTCCGATCATGTACCAGTTATCGCTACTATTGGTGTTATGAAAGAAGATGACTCAATTATTAAAAGCTATACTGACTGGATCAGTTTCCACAACATCCTGATTAAACAGCACTCTAATTCCCATGCTCTTTCTACCAAACAGGACATTGACTATGCCATTAAGGTCTTCACTACAACATTTTGAAAGCTTTTCGTGATGCAACAGTCACTAAGCAACTGACTAATAATAATGTTAAACTCCCTAGAAGCATAAGAGAAATTATTAAAGAATGTAATAAAAAACTTAAACTCTTGTATCATAATTGGGATCTGGCTTTAAAACAAGAAATTAACATTTTAAACAGAAGAATTAAACAACTTGTTTTTTATTTCAAAAGAGAATCCAAGGAAGAATTCATCTCCAAACTGAACATCAGTGACGGCTCACTTTGGAAATATCTTCAAAATCTCAAGAAGACGACGATTTACAATAGACCTTTTCATTCTGGTTCTACTATTGCATATTTGATTCATGATAAAGTTAACATTTTTGCTGATTACCTTGAAGAAGAATTCACTCTAAACATGGACCTGATGAATCCTATTTTTAAAAATACTCTGGAAAGTTATATACATTCATGGCTCTATTCTTCCACTGCTCACAATCTCCCCAAGTTTACAACTCCATTGGAGGTTACTAACATCATTCGTTATCTAAATTTTAAAAAGGCTCCTGGAAAAGATCAAATCACCAATGAAATGCTTCGAAATCTCCCAAGAAAAGTGAGGCAAAGATGTTTCTAAACCAGATGGATACAGACCAATCAGCTTATTATCGAACCTTGGAAAAAATTTATGAACGTCTCATCCTCAAAAGATTAAAACCTTATATGCATTTTCTGCCTAATGATCAATATGGTTTTCGTAAAAATCTCAGCACCACTCGTCAACTGGTCAGGATTGTGGAATTCATCGGTTCTGCTTTTCATAACAAGCAAAGTGTAGCGCTCCTTATGCTAGACGTGGCAAAAGCCTTTGACTGCGTCTGGCATGAGGGGCTTGTTTTCAAGCTCATCAACCTTAGATTGCCTAGAGAGTTAATTCTCCCGATTTATTCCTTTTTGCAACATCGCAAGTTCTTTGTCTCACTAGGCAATGAAACCTCTACTCTGAGACCTATAAGATCTAGTGTTCCACAGGGAAGCATCCTCAGACCGGTTCTTTACCTGTTTTATATCTCGGATTTTCCTCATCCTGGGCTTGACAACTACTCTCTTCATGCTACGGCGATAGCCATCAAGTCTATCAATGCTAATCATGCAATTGATAAAATGCAATATTTTCTTTACACTGTAGGGACTGGTGCACCAATAGGAGAGTTAAAATTAACGCCAGTAAGTCTCAGCTTTTAATCTTTTGCGAAAACAAAAAACGCAACAAGTTTAAAGAACTTTTCCTTTTTCAAGAGCCTGTTCCATTAATTACAAAAGCCAAATACCTAGGAGTGATTCTTAACCATAATCTTACTTGGACCAACCATACTAAGAATGTTAAAAATAAAGCAATTGGAATTATGTGCAGATTTCTTCCAGTAATTGGAAAATTTTCTAACCTTAGCCTAAGAACCATGAGACATATTTATACTACTTGTATCCGACCTATTCTTTGTTATGCATCTCCAGCTTGGAATACTGCCTCTTTTAATGAATTACATCAACTTCAAATAGTGCAGAATATATTTCTTCGTGTTATCACTGATGCTCACTCTCTCATCTGAAATGAACTTCTTCATAGAGATCTTAAGCTTGAAACCATCACAGAATTTACTAAAAGAACAAATGAGAAATTCTTCTCTACAGCTGTCCAATGTGACTATGTGAACTATTCCCCAAGTCTTCAACTACGAAATACTTAATGAAGACTGCAACATAAGACCACTTGCTGCTCACACCTTCATGGAATGAGGCTTCTGTTTCTTCTCTTGCTCCTCAATTGGTGGCTGTAATTTATTTCATTTTATCTGATAAAAACAGTGCTGTACTCTAAGCTGTTTGGATTGCTAGTGCGATGTTGTAATGATCGTTGTGTGTTGATTTTCTGTTGTATGGGTTGAATTTGTGTAGTTTTATAGTAGTATTGAACTTTTGTTGTTGTTGTATAGCATTTTGAACCATGTTTTGCATTTGTTGTTTCTCTGAATTCTCAAGGGTCCATTTGGATTTTATTCATCTTGTCAAGTTCCGTTCACCTGGCAGATGCCTCTGGCCTTTTTCCTTTTGGTACCCCTCTCACTTTCCCTTTCTCCGTTTCTCATCCGAGATGTTTTCCATTTCCAGAATTCATTATGTCATGTGGCCTTGGGCTTAATTTAAGGAACAGGCAACGTAGCGCCTGCAATAGCTCAGTAATATAGAACTGTCTAAGGCTTAGTCCTTTTTGTTCCTGTTTTCATCGCTCCTGGTTTGCTGTTCCAGCGCTCATTCGGAGACATTCTTGCGATGCATGTCATCCAGCAATAAGTACCGTGGTTCCGAGCCATGTTGGGTTTTCTAAGGTTAAGCGGCGTTGAATCCCAAGTTGTGGTTCCCGGTGATCAACTGCCATGGGCGGCATCCTGTTTTCAAGGTTAAGCGGTGTTGAATCTCAAGTTGTGGTTTCTGGAGAGCAACTGCAGTGGGCGGCATCCTGTTTCATGGTTAAGCGGCAATAAATCTCAAGCTGTGGTTTCCAGTTAGCAATTGCTGAAGGCGGCATCATTAACACCAGTGTTTTTCAGGTCTAGCGGTGATGTTTTTCCAAGCTGTGTTTTCCCATGAGCAACTGCAGTGAGTGGCATTTACCAATTCAAGTACATTCAAGGTTTAATTTTTTTTCAGGTGCCTTCTTGGCCAAAAGCATAGACCTAATAGTCAAGTGAAATTCAAATTAATCATGAAGTTTTGTTCTGTGATAGGTTTTTTGCGAGTCATTGAATGCCAGTATTTATAGAACAGGTAATATATTTACTGTATTATTAATAGTGTAGAATTCTTTAAAGGAAAAACCCTTGGTGTTAATGAATGGTTAACTAAGTGTAATTTTTGACAATGGTTATGTTACACTCTTTAAGTTTCTGGTATTGATCAAATTTATTTATTGTATTTTTATTTCTATATATATTGTTAATAAATTGGTTGAGTTTAAAACTTTTGTTATCTATGTCTACACAGCACATAATCTCAGAGTGCTTCTATTGTGATAATTATTTCTGCTAAATGTTTTCTATAACTTTAAACTTTGCTTTTGCATCAGAAGCGATAACTTTCTTGGCAAATTATGTATCGCGTAAACGCCATTCGGGCTGCTGGCATAGAGCCAATTTTCACAGCTCCAATTAGATTGTCTTTTAGAAAGGCAAAGCAAGTTTCCAGTTATGTCGAGAATCGAGAGACTTGCATGCACATGTGCAGTGCATGTTTAACAAAAGAAAATGCATATTTTCGTATAAAAAAATCAGTTTAATCCTAGTATACGGTACTATGGAGGTTTATGAATTCTATTCTAACCTACATCTGCGGTACACACGGGATTTGGCGGAATTGTGGTTAGCAGTAAACGGGTAATTTTGGTGTTGGTGACAATTTTCAAAATTGTTCCAATGGCATCAAAGTGTATACAACTATGATTTTACCACAAAATCTTTTAAACCCCCCTTTTATTTTCTTTTTAATAAATGCCTTATTTGTCATTTTGCAGCAAAATAAAAAATTGTAATTAGTCATTCAGGCTAACTATTTAATATAATTATATTCGCTAAAATATCATTGATTATTCTAATTCAGTTTTTAAGTTTTTATTTATTTTTTTTTTTTTTTTTATTTTTTTTTTTTTTTGTTGTTACCCATATAATTTAATATTGCTTCTTTTCCCTAAGTTGATTTATTATTAGTAAATAATACTTTTAAATTTCAGGAATCCTGAAACTAATTTTAGCAGTATGATGACATACTATCACGAAATTTAATGCACATATTTTTTGCTTATGTGTGCTACTGAATAAATATAAAATACCTGAATTTATTTAAAAATATCATTAAATAGATTTCTTTCTTCTTTTACTTGCAAAATGTCAGGGGGGAAAAAAAAAAAAAAAAAAAAAGACATTTTTTTTAAATCCAGATTGGGCATCTTCTGTGAAAAAAAAAAAAAAAAAACTCCTATTTAGTTATAATGGGGGGGTTATATATATATGTGTGTGTATATATAATCACCGCACAGGTCTTTTTAATTTGTTCTCCTTTTAAATTATATATAAAATCATATGTAATTGGTGAATTTTTGTGGTTTTAAGTGGTAACATAATTAATTTACCTCTTAATGTGCATTATGCAGATAGGCTGAAATTTTCTTAAAACACACGTGGAAAAGTCGGGAATTTCATTCTCCCGTTTGAGTGGCAACCCTGACGTGCTTTTATTCCTCTGAATTTAATATTATAAAAATTTTTTTTTGTTTATGTTATCATTATTTTAGGAGGTATGAAATGCTTTAGCATAATTTTTTTAGATAAATGTTATATTTTGTTAAATTTGAAAATATTAGGAATAATTAACAATTAAAATTATGCTGAAAATATGTATTGTATTTTGTGACTAAAAAATTGACTTTTTTTAGTAAAATTTTTTTAAAAAATTGACTTTTCGTATTGTATTTTGTGACTAAAAAATTGACATTTTCTGTAGTTGATTATTATGTGCTGTATTTTAACATCTATTTCTAATGCTTCTGGAGTACTGACAGATCTTAATATTTTTAGGAACTTGATAGTTGATCCTAAAGTAAAATTAAAGTATCAACACCTAATCACAAATAGCTTTATTGCTGTAAGTATATGTTCAGTTCATAGTTAATTAATTTCATTCAATTAATTTATTTCTCAACCATTCAATATTGTTTAACTGTTAAAATGACAAATTCATGAAATGAAATGTTAGATACGGTAAATGTCACATAATGTGATTGCGGTTAATGCTATGATTTGGATATTAGTATTGAATTGCTGAAGTCCTTCCTGTTTGTATTTGAAAATGGAAAATAATTCACTTATTGTGATCAAATGTTTGATCAATATGATTAAAAAGTTATAAAATATTTTTTTTTTTAACTGAAGTAATTCTCCAGATAAGGTCAAAATAGGTTAATAAATTTTTTAAGTGACAGACAAATGTCACCAAGTAAAGGATCAAGTTACCCAACAGCTTGGTTTTGATTTCAATTAACCATTTAAAATTAAGCACCCCCCCTGAAAAAAACACACTTAATAATAATTAAGTGTGTTTTTTTCAGGGTAGATTTTGAAGAACTCTATGGATTTTGTGGGTGATCAAATATAAATTCCTTTTTTTCAGGAGCAGATTTTAGGGCATTAGCCCAGAAGGGCTATTAATTTCATTTTGGCATTTTGCGTCAATTCACTTTCTGCGATGATTCACTTTTCAAACTATTGCCACCAAATATTACAGCCCTGTATTATATTTAAAGAAATTAAATAATTAAGAATCTGCATAAATGTAGGGTATGTTTCTCCCATTGTGATACAACAGTACCTAGAGCCATATGAATTTTGAATAACATAAACCTGCACCAAATATGGGCATCTGGAAGCCCTAATTTGGAATTTGTTTTATTATCTATTTCATATTTTGTAAAACCTTAAGGAGGTTTTAATTAAAAACTCAACAATTTCAAAGCTAGCAGTGACTATACTGTATGAAAAAAATATAGCCCTTCTTTTTCCTTTTCTCTACAATATTATAAAAAAACCTCATTTTCAAAACAAGTTGCAGCCATTTCTTACCAGATTGATTGTTTCTATCAATACTGGCATACAATTACATAAAATATTTACAAAAGTAATTAAATATAATGCCCTAAGACCATTCGCAACAATTAAGTCAATTAGGATGCAGTCACACCATTCACCCGAAGGCGAAAATAAAGAAAAGGCAAAAATCAAGGGTTAAATTCATCAATTCTAATGAGAATGCATGAGCGAAGCAAAGCACTGCAATTTGACATAATTTCTGAGTAAGCTGTTCATACGAATTGAAATAATTTTTGCATTTAAACTTGTATTCCAAATTAAGATTTAACTTGAAATTAATGTAGATAATTATTGAGAGAATTATATTTTTGCAGCGTAATTTATGTGAGAAGAGATCACTTAGGATCACGTGATACGAACTGGCGAATCAGGATATAGAACCATGATAGCATAGTAAATTCTTAAATTAATGTCTTTTTACAAATTTCTTGTCTTTATTTATTGGCTTTTTACAAAATTTTAAACCATATTAAAATGTTTATGCCTTCAAAATAAAAAATTCTTAGAACTAACATTTGTTAACAATTTTATGTGTATACTGTATGTTGTCGCCAGCAAAGTCTACTTGGCTAGATTTGCACCAGCGAAACAGAAAAGTACCCATAAATATTTCCATCTAATATATTTTTTCAGGGTTGCAAAATAAAATGGCGACCCTGCCATGTAGAAGATCTCCAAGTGATGTTTGGTATCATTTTGTCAAATTAGATATATATATATAAATAAAAAAGGAAAAGGTTGACATTGTCAGCAGACAATTTCCTGTTCTTTAAGGTCTGCTTCCAAACTATTTTTTTTTTTTTTTTTTTTTTTTTTTTTTTTTACTTTGTGCTTTGTAGCAGCAACCAAATATCAATTATAGTAATAAAATAAGGTGATCTTTAACAAAAGTGAATTTATTTTTCTACATTTTTAAAATTTTTTATTCCAGAATTTTTTTGTTGTTCTATGTGGAAAAGTGTTTTTAGAGAATCTCAAAAGTACAATTGAAAGAAATCAGTCCCGGGAGTGAGCAGTTTGATTGATTCCACCAGTCCCAGTCCTTGTTTGATTCTTTCTGCTTTTTCCCCATCTTTGCACACCACTTTTGATCCACGTCTGCTTCAGGTGCTTTTATCAAGGTCATAGTTAGTGAGAGGTGAATTGTTAAAAAGAACTGATTCACTTCAGTGAGCGAACAGCTCCAATCTGATCCCTTAAAGGAGCGGTTTTGCCCATTTCTACTCGCAGATAAACTTTTGCATTAAAGATGTTATGAACAGTTCATTAACAAATTTTGTCCTTGTCCTAATTAAGGCACTGTGAAAGTATCTTGATATATGCTACTGGTTATATTTGTATAAAATTAGGTAAGTTCGATAGATATTTTCAAATTTTTTTTTTTTTTTATCATTTAATATTATCGTTCAGTTAATGAAATCATAATAGTCACAGACAAATATGATCACAATTAAGTGGCATCTACTGTAAATGATAAAGTAATAAATAGTCTTTCAAAAATTTTACATTTGCTAATAGAATATTTATTTATTGTTTTAAAAATATTGCTAAAATTAGTCATTTCCAAATTTATAAAATTTATTGAAGTAATACTGGAGATGACATCTTTAATTAATCTTAAGAGTGATGTCTTAATGGAGATGACATCTTTAATTAATCTTAAGTTTGATGAAATACAGGAAAGTGGAACAACCTATCATATAATTAACAAAAGAATGCTATTAATAGTTAGCTGTATTTTTAAGCTATTTAAAAGTTACTCTGGTTATGTAAATTAAATAAGTATTCCAAGCAAAATTAATACACTGGAAATGATGAGAAAATAAACATTACTGGAAATGAAGACACTGAGTTATAAATGCCACTAAAGAGCAAAGTTTGAAAAATGTCATTAAATTTGAATTTGCATAAAATTATTGATTAGATCTTTTTATTTCTTACTATGCAGTATTCATATATTCCAGATTATGTACAGTTAAATTATGCACAGTTATGGTTAAAAACAGTGAAACTTCGTGATTATCTGCACTGCATGTTTTAACATTCAGTAGAATTGTGGTATTTTTGGTGCATTTTCAAGAATACACATGATAGTAGCCAACTGAAGCATGTGTATACCACATGTATGTTTGAGTGGAGTGCACATGGATTTACACATTTTATATTTAACTGTCATTTCTCTGAATAGTATTCATTCATTGTAAAAGTATAAATATTTGTCATATAAACTTAGTTTTTTCCTCATCAAATTTCTTGTTTCTTATAAAATGTTTTATTATTAATAGTTACGAAATTAACAGTACCTGTGAGACATGAATTTAGCCTGACAAATGCTTTACACCGTTTCACAAAATTATCTTTGGGAATCGCCCCCAAAATGATTTGGTGGCCTTTCATAAAGGTGTGGATAATCCGAAAATTTTAAAACAACTCTTAAATATATGGCATCATCTGTTAGCACTGCTGTTATTCCATGGAGTTTTCTTTCTCTTTTTGTAGTCCGTATAGACAGTTCTGTTACATGCTGATTGTTTGTGACAGTAATTTTTCTGTCATTCCTCAGTGAACAAACTTTTTCAACACAGGGTTCTATGAATCTGTAACTTGGTTAATTGTGAGTTGGTCGTATGTCAGACTAAAAATTTAATAAAAAGTTAATACATAAATATCTACGTATTCTGTGATCCTTTGTTGCAGTTTTTATTGGGGAGGGGCACGAGACACCATATGCAACAACTAAAATGTGTTTTCAAACAACAAATTCGAAAGTAATAATTGTACTTAACTACACTAAGTTTTGGCATCTTTAATAAGCATATCATTGTGTTTGTTCTTCAGAAAAAATCATTGAATGCAATCAGACATTTGTCCCATCATGGACCAATCTAGGAATGTTGGCCATGTAAAATTTGAAACTGGTGATATTGATTTTCATCTTAGTATCTGAGTGAAACCCTTGACACTCCAATTTTTGTGCCTTCAAAACAACATTCTGGGAACTCATTGCATGCAGGCTTTGTGATACCTCAGAAATCTTTTATAGTCTTCTCTTCAATCCTGTAATGAATGATGTTAAATTGATTCACTAAGGATTGATAACCAAAGCATGTGTATACACGAATAGTCTCGTTCATCTTTGCGCGTTTGTCTTCTGTTGGAACAGCTTGGGCTCAACAGGGTGTGAATAATTAATTGTTTGTTCATGTACTTTCCTAAACATTCTTTCCAAATCTGTCTCTGTCGTCTTGGAAATGCATGCTTTGCTTTGCACTTCCTCTATCTAATGAAATTTTTGGCCAGTTGATGTCTTTCGACACTGATAAATTATATGACAGCACATTGCTCATTGTTTGGACATATTGTGTATGTAGAACTGTATTTTTCAGTGTTTATTCCTGTGAAGGCAAAAATCATTATATGCCAGGATACACCACAACTGCAAATTTTTTCATTGCATCATACATTAGTTATAGTCAATGAATGTATTTAAATTTATCATACTAAACAGAAACTATTATAGAAGATTATTTTTTTTATATGCTTTTGTTGAGGTTAAAGTTTTATGCTATAGTTATTTATGTTTTTTAATGGAAAGAATACAGAATGCCAGAGTTGGGGTAGTTATAATTTCCTAATTTCCAATGCATTTTTTTTTTTTTTTTTTTTTTTTTTTAGTATATAGAAATCTGCATTAAGCATTCTTCTTTTCAGTGGCGTAATAGTCCAGTGTGAGCTTTAATTTACTGCAAAAATTTATCCCATCTTGTGTTTTCCTCAGTGGTTCTAGTTCTAAAATAATTAAGTCTTTTATCCACAGATCCAAAGTATCATTTCTGGTGTTATGTTTCATAACTGATTCAATATTATTTGTTTCAACTGTTAAAATAATCAATCCACAAAATTAAAAGGTTATTAAATGATAAGCTTATAAGCAGAATAAAATAATTGGTTGAATTTTGGCTGATTCATGTTGCCTTGGTCAAAAATATTGTTTTGGTG